ACCTCCAATGGCAAAGACAATCAAAAGGGCCGCGAGCAGTGTAAATGTTTTGGCCATTGTAAAGACGCTGTCAAAATTTCAACAAAAGAAAACAAAAACCAGTGACGGTTTTATGTTGAAACGTTGGTGCCTTCAATCCTCGAATGATGAGGGTCAAGTTCCTCTCCCCTGCAGTTTTATCCAGAAGCCACTCCTCTCAGGACGTCACCGGGCACTAAAAAGTGTTTCAAAGCTGAGGAGCTTTTTTTAATATTTCCTTATGGGTGTCATAAACCGTCTCTGTTACTGATTTTAGAAACATCCAACATTGTTTCACAGAAATGGCTTCCCCCAGGTCAGGACATGCTTCACAAATAGATAATATTTAAAGAGAAGTTATACTTAATTCAGTCCATAGTGCAAAGTTAAATATCTATCAAACTGAACAATGTATTTGAAAAATAGATCAAGTTCAATTATTGCATTTTTGTGTCCAGTTTGTCTAAGAATGATTAATATAACAATTTAAAAATAAAATATAACTTGGTTTTTGTTTGGCTACACTACCCTTTACCATACCCTACATGACTCTACCCAGTCACAGCATAGAAAGGGATACCCTGAGAAGTTAACACAATCAAAAGCAATACACAACAGAAATGCTGTTTTCTTGGTTACCATGCCATTTTTTGAGCTCCTTTGTGGATGCATGTTTTTATTTTTATTACAGAAATAGGTTAATAATAAACAGGAGAATCACAGATTACATTCCTGGTCAGTCATTTTATATTTTTTAATGTAGTTCTACTTGTTTTTGATTCCATGTAAGACAAAAACAAAGTGATTTTATTAGGACAAATGGAACACAAGCRTTTTTGCATATCACACTTAAACCTTATTGAAACATGAATAAGAAGGAAAATATTCCCTATAAAGGTGGGTTAAACACACCCTCCTTCAGGTATTATATGGGTTATATCAGTGTGGGCAGTAAAAACAGGTAGAGCAAACAAAAGGACAACCTTTGATTTACAGACACCGTATAACGTGAAATAACAATCAAAGCATAAAATAAAGGAAGGGGCACTGCTGAAAAACATGACATAGTAAACTGTCTGATATATCTGTCCTTTTCCTGCTTTTCCTTTCTGTCTCCATCTGTCACTGTGAGAGGTGGGGTAGACCCTGAACTGGTCTCCACCATCACAGAGACAAGGCAGCACCACTGTTCAGTGGTTAGCACTGATAACTCACAGAAAGAATGTCCTGGGTTCCATCACCAGTTCGGACCTGGGGTCTTTCTGTGCAGAGTTTGCATGCTCTCCTCATCATGTGTGGGTTTTCCCCTCGGTTTCCTCCTACAGACCAAAAACTTGTACAACAGGCTGCCCTCAAGCCCAGGCCACCCTTGTGAAAGAAATCAGGGATCTCACTGGGACTTGCCTGGTTAAATAAAATTCAGTTGTAAAGGGACAACGTAGAGCAGTGGTTCCCAAACTTTTTATCTTCTGACCCACAAAATATCCATGGCAAAAGCTTGTGACCCCAAATATTACTGGTTTGAGTACATGAACTTCGTTAATAACCCTAAAAACACAGGCTTTTTGACAAGCTAAACAGCTTGTTCACAAATATAAATACTTATTTATACTTATTTTGTGTTTTTATGATAATTATGGGGAAAATATTACATCAGCAATTACTTTATTACCCTTTAAAATGATTTCTGGAGATTATCCAAGCTTCTTCATGACCCATAATTGGGTCCCAAGCCCAGCTTTGGGAACCAAAGTGCAGTGGTTCCCAAACTTTTCAGCTTTTGACCCACAAAATAACAGTAGCAGAGACCTGTGCCCCCAACTATTTTTGGATGATAAACATTTGTATCAGGTCAACAAAACATGAACATAGTAACAATATTTTTATACTACATTTATCCATTTTAAATACACTAACCTCACTCCTTTGTAACAACTAAAGCAAAAATGTAATTAATTCAGAAAATCTTTTCAGGACCCCACCTTGATGTTTCGGGACCCCACTTTGTGTCCCGACCCCGACTTTGGGGAACACTGACGTAGAGTTGCCATACATGTATGGTTTTGGTCTGTGCACAGGGAGAACACACACACTTCACACAGAAAGACCTGAAGGCCGTGAGGCAACAATTCCAGCCACCGCTCCGCCGTGCTGCCATGTAGCAGATGTTTTCAAAAATCTTCTGTAAGGAAATCAACTCTAACCTCAATAAATGCTCATAAAATCTTATCTCCTGGTTGACCTTGTTCCCAGTTGCACCGACACACGCCTCAGTTCTTACACCATTTTATTGTCATTTTGAGCGTCAGYGGAAAAAGAGGAGGTTCAAACATTGTTTTTTTCATTCATCTATCTATCCGTCCATTCATCTCTAACACCCATTTTATCCTGATAATCGTTAGAGAACACCAACCTCCTCTGGCATCACAGAACGTAGAACAGATCCATATTACGTTTTTCTCATTTGCTTCAGTACATTTCTCAGAAAAKAATYGAAATTCTCAAAACTACTTGCTCAGTCTTCACACCATTGTATCACTTGTGTGCATCAAAACAACAGTTTTGAGCAAGTAGTAAACGATTTGGTACAGTAGAGCCATGCAAATGATGAGTGTACAATTCTCTGAYGTTTTCGACATTATCAGTTGATCAAAATACATCATGTGTCTCTATTCAGTAATCTTAGTATAAAGTAATACGCTTTCATCCATACAATACAGAGCACCTTGTCACTTTTTTAGACCTCTCTCTGCAGGGATCTCATCCCTGRACAAGAGAGGGGTCAGACTGGAGACGACTTGTCAAAATACATGATAGTTTGGGACAAAGTTTCCATTACTCCAACATCATCAGACAATGGTTTGTGGTCCACAACAAGATGCTGGTGGAGTTCCTCCCACCCTACTCCCCATTGCTTAAACCCACTGAGGAAACTTTTCTCAGCATGGAGACGATATGATCTCCAGCCACACACAGCTGACCCTTCTGACTGCCATGGATGCAGCGTGAGATGACATCACAGAAGATGGCTGCAGAGACCGGATGAGACAAGATTTTCTCTCTGCATCACAAGATAAGATATTTGTTGTGATGTGGATGAGAATGTGTGGCCCAACAGACAGGAAGATCAGGAGGTGTAAGAAGACAGCTCTGTAATTCCTACAGCATTGTATGTACAGTTTTGTTCTGTGTTCGCAGTACTTTTTAAATTTATTTTGTTTTTTATTTTTTTGTCTTTGTGCTCAGCAGTGATGGTTTTTCCTTTCTGTATCACAATGACGTGGTCTGTCAACAGTTTACAGTAAAAACAGTAAAAGCATAAATGTAAATCTTRTCAAGTCTCTTGCAATCAATCTCTCACAATTACAATTTAGAGTTTGTAATGAAAAACATAGCCATGATTTACATCAGAACATCCTCCGCTGTACACTGTTTTATTACAAACATGACAAATCAATTTGTCACAGTGACACAAAGTCCTGACCTTGTGATGGCACTATTACGTTCATTAACACAGAAATTCAGTTTTGAAAGATGAACGAAGGATTTTGAACAAGAAACTTCTTTGGAGGTAACTCATGGTGTTTTGCTATTTGTACATATTTACTGTTTTGCAAATGTCGAAAATGATTTGAAAAACGCACCAAAGCAAGTGACAAAAACTTGTGTTTCAGTTGTGTTTCATGTTTCTGTTTTGTTTTACGATCAATTAAGGTCTTACTTATTGCAGACAGTTTTTTTAAAATAACATCAAAGTGAAACCAAGTGAAATGACCGCTATTTTAAACAACTCAATCTCAAAATTTGTAAGCAGCATTCAAGCACTACAGGGTGTATCAGGGAAAAAAAAAGATATTCTCAGAAAAATCAACATAAAATTAACATAGATAATAATTTTGAAAATGTGGGCGTAACCTTTGGTAG